TCACAAGTTTCAAAATCTCCCCTCCCCCCACCGCATCCCAAAACCAGTCCAACTCGTCCCTGCCTCCCTAACCTGTTCTTCCTCCCACCTATCCCCTCCTCCCACCTCAAGCCGCACCTCCATCTCCTACCGACCAACCTCATCCCGCCCCCTTGACCTGTCCGTCCTCCCTGGACTGACCTATCCCCTTCCTAACTCCCTACCTACACTCACCTTTCCTGGCCCCATCCCCGCCTCTTCGACCTGTTTGTTTCCTCTCCACCTATCCTCTCCTCTATCCCTCTTCTATCCGCCTCCCACTCTCTCCCTATTTATTTCAAAACCCCCTTCCCCTCCCCCTTTTCTGATGAAGGGTCTAGGCCCGAAACGTCAGCCTCTCTGCTCCTATGATGCTGCTTGGCCTGCTGTGTTCATCCAGCCCTGCACCTTGTTGTCTCGGATTCTCCAGCATCTGCAGTTCCTACTATCTCTAACAAGCCCTCCATTAGTTCCACACCTCTCCAAAGCATTCACCCCTCAACTTCCAGTTGGTACCAAATGATGCTGTTTTACAATTAACATCTTGAACAACATTCCATATTGAAACAATCAAATTTATTAATCAGCATAATGCACTGATGTAAAAACCTCTGGTAAGAGGGGCTCAGCCCCCAAAGACATTTTTAGAAGAAGTTTTGAATTCTATTCATTGCAGGCTAGATATGCATTTCATTCACAGAATGCAATAAAACACATTAATAGCGTATTCTTCAGCGTATATTCTTGATAGCTGCTTCCTGACTTCAGTGAGTTATTCTTTCCCAAGGCAAATATCTGACACAAACTGCCACTTTAAAGTAAGCACGTTCAACAATATGTTTACATAACACATAGCATTTGCACTCTAAACTATAATCCTTTAAGTAAAAGTCAAATACAACAAATTTTCAGCTTTATATTTGCAGGAACTGCAAACGGATTCACTAATGAATTAAAGTCAAATTAATAAACACACACAATAAAAGGTTTTTTAAACAATTATTTATACGAATTTCAAAACAAATTATGGTAAATAAATGACTAAAATAAATGCAGTATGTCAGGCACATTATCATTTACCAACTAATTCAAAATCAAGTGGTCATGAAGTGATTAGACCACAGGTAAATTGCTCTTGAAATACTTAACTGGTCAACAAATTAATTAAAATAAAATGGCATTTAATAAAACAGGACTGACCTAAGAGGCAATGCAAGGAGACTTACGGTGTCGGTTATTTAGCTATAGCTTGGATTCTAAATCGTTAATTAGACAAGCCATTGGGGAAGGTTTTAGACAAAAGATTTTGTGGGAATTAAATTCATTAGAATTAAAGAACAAAAGTAATCAGGTAGACCTCTCATTTGCTCAGCCACGAAACTTTTTAAAAAAAAGGTACTCTGTTGCCAACACTTGAGAGTTCACACTTCAATGCCGTCTTGTGGAAGCTTACTCTTTTTGTCAAGAGAGAAAGTCAAAGATCTTCTTCATTCCCATTTTCAAACCTGGTTTTGTGTACCTCAAGTTCTTCAGCGCTCACCATTGCTGGGTCAATTGCAGCATACCGTGTACCGTGGAACTGTCGCAGGTGGATCTGAAAATAAAGCATAAGGTTTAAAGCTTTTGAAGCATGGCATCATTACTAGGTCAATTTACTTCAGCAATCAACAAACCAATAAGCAAAAACTTCATACTTGAATTAATTTAAATTCCAATATTCCCATTAAGTACAAATTTGAACAGGGCTATGGGAAATGCGGACAAGCTTTATAACTGGGTGTAGAATTGGGTTATGGAGCAGCAAGAGGTTGGAGGAGAGCAACAGCAAGGAATAGGGGGCAAAGGCAAATGTGAGATAGAGTAAAGGATTGAGCATGAAAGGATAGAATTTGGGAGGGTGTGATGGAGGGAGAGAGAGAGAGAGACTGTCCGTGCCGGTCAGCAACAATTATTCTAATCCCATTTTCCAGCACTTCTTCCAGAAGTGCATGTCTAAACATTTCTTAAATGTTATGGGCGTTTCTGCCTCTAGCACCCTTACAGGTGAGTTCCAGATTCCTACCATCCTTGGGTTAAAAACCTCCTACACCCCTTATTATAGCCTCTGGTCATTGATCCCTCCACCAAAGGGAAGGTTTCTTCCTGTTTACCCTATGTCCCTCTTAATTTTATACATCCCAATAATTTTCCCTCACAATTGCCTCTGCTCTAAGGAAAACAACCCCAGTCTGTTCAATCTGTCTTCATAACTGAAACCCTCAAGCCCAGGCAACATCCTGGTAAATCTCTGTCAGACCCTCCGCAGGGCAATCACATCCTTCCTTTAATGTGGATTCCAGAATTGCACACAATACACTAGTTATGGAGTAACCAACATTTTATACAGGTCTAGCATAACCTGCCCACTCTTAGACTCGATTCCACGGCTAATAAAGGCAAGCATCCCATGTGCCTTCTTAACTGCTTTATCCATTTGTCCTGATACCTTAAGGGGCCGGTGTACATGCACACAAAATGTCCCCCTGTACAGGTACACCTATGTCCCTCTGATCCTTGGTGCTTCCCAGGTTCCTACTGTTCATCATGTATTCTCTTGCCTTATTTGTCCTGCCCAAATGCATCACCTCGCATTTATACGGACTGAGCTCAAACAGACCACCTGACTAGTCCATATATATCTACCCATAATCCAAGGCAATCCTCCTCACTATTTACCACCTCACCAATTTTTGTATCATCTGTGAATTTACTGATCAACCCTCCGACATTTATATAAATTTATTGCACATTTATATATTAACATAATCATTTACATAAAACACAAACAGCAAGGGCCCCAACATGACCCCGGCTGGATACCACTGGACACAGACCTCCAGTGGGAAAAACACCCCTCATCTATCACTCTCTGCCTCATGCCACTCAACTGATTGTCGATCCAATTTGGCAAATTGCCTTGAATCCCGTGTGCTCTTTCTTTCGCCATTAGTCTCCCATGGAGGATGTTTTCAAAATGCCTTGATGAAGTCCAAGTAGACTCCATCAAAAACATTGACCTCATCTACATGCCTGGGCACCTCTCCAAAAAAGTCAATCAAGTTGGTCAGACACAACATTTTCTTAACAAAACCATGCCTACTGTTCTTCATTAATCCTGCCTCTTCCCACAGAATTCCAATATTTGCCCCACCACTAAGGTTAGCCTGTAGTTTCCTGGTTTATCGTTTGCTTCCTTCTTGAATAATTACACATGCAGAGTAAGTAAAGGTAAAGCACAGGAAATTTATGCTTCGCTGGGTATGTCTGAAGACGGCTGCAGTGTTCACTTCCATTCACAATCCTCAAATAAGGAAGCATGTGCAACAGATTCCAAGCAACATCCAGGTTTGGGCTGATTAACAATTAAGTTACATTCGCACCACATAGATTCCAAAGAAATGCTCCACTAACCACTGCTTCTGACCAAACCGCCCCCCAGTCAAAATCCTGGAATTTCTTCCCTGTCAGCACTACGGAGGAACAGTGGCTGAAGGCATTGACTCACCAACTCCTCGAAGGAAACTGAGATTATGCAATAAATGCTGACCCTCACATCCCATTAATAAATACTTAAAAGCCCAAGCTCTATGCAGTGTCCTTGAGTCAAGTACAAGGTAATAAAAACTCTTCAATTTCACCTGTACATAAAGGTTAACCTCAGCACTCCGACACAAATAGGGAAAGTTGCCACCAGTTTTAAGATGTGCTCGTCTCGCATTTGGATATAATTTATACATTTCTTCTTTGGCTTCCTGAGAAAGTGCACTGTGATCAAAAACCTGAAACAAGGTAACAGTAGAACTCTCATCCACAACTTATAGCTAAAAATGATTTAACAAAATGACAACTTGTATTTGTGTAGCAACTTTGTAATAAGTACATGATAGTCTTTCTTTCTTAAATGAGATAACCAATTTGCGCACACAAATATAGCAATGTGATTATGATTAGATATTCTGATTTGGAATAAATATACAAAAAAGGAGCAGTACGCCATTCACCCCTAAAGCCTGCTCCAAGAGTCAATAAGATCATGGCTGATCTGATTGAAGCATTTAATCTGCAATTCTGATCATTTCTGAAAGCTTTTCATACCATTGCTCAACAAGTATGTACCACTCATTTAAAATTATTCAAGAAATCTGCATTCCACCATCTTTTCAGGAAGGGATTTTCAAAGATTCAGCGTCTGAGATAAAAATGTCATCTCATCTTGGTCTAACCATTTAGATAACATACTTCATATTTATTCTGTCTGCCATAAAAAAACAATTACACATTCTACTCCAATTGCCAGATTTTGTCTCACTTTAACTAATGACATTCCTCTGCAGCAACCTTGCCTTTTTTACAAATTACCTTTCTACCTCTCTTTCTATCATGAGCAAATTTAGCCTGCGGGGTATGGAAGCACATTCAATAATTTTCAGAGAAGTGGATAAATATTTGCAGCATGTGGCGAAAGTGACTCATTGGAAAGCTCTGCCAATGAACCAGCAGAGGCATGAACAGCCAATTGGCTTTCCAAGTGGCATTATTCTATGATTGGGGTTCTCTCCCTCAAGATTTATTCTTCCATGACGTGAAAAAGAGATCATCACAGTTCATAAACTAGCTGCAGCACTTAGAAGAATTGCACTTCGAAAGCACTTAATTGACTGTGATGTCCTTTGGCCGCCCTGATGTAATAAAATGATGATATATGACTGCAGTTGTTTACTTGTATAATGAGAGGTTTGGTGAAAGATTTACAAGGATGTTACTGAGACTGGAAGGTTTAAGTTATAAGGAGAGGCTGGATAGACTGGGACATTTTTTACCCCTGGAGCATACGAAGCTGAGGGGTGACTTTACAGAGGTTTGTAAAATCATGAGGGGCATACTTAAGGCGAACAGCCAAGATTTTTTCCCAGGGTAGGGAGTCCAAAACTAGAGTCAAACAGTTGCACAGCACGGAAACAGATCCTTTGGTCCAACTTGTCCATGCCGACCAGATATCCTAAATTAGTCTAACCCCATTCGCCAGCATTTGGCCCATATTCTCCTAAACCCTTCCTATTCATGTACCAGATGTCCTTTAACTGTTGTTATGTATCAGCCTCCACCACTTCCTCTGGCAGCACATTCCATACAAGCACCGACCTCTGCTTGAAAAAGTTGCCCCTTAGGTTCCTTTTAAATCTTTCCCCTCTCGCATTAAACCTATGCCCTATAGTTTTGGATTCCCGTACGCTGGGGAAAAGACCTTGGCTATTCACTCTATCCATGCCCCTCACGATTTAAAAAATCTCTATAAGGTTACCCCTCAGTCTCCAACGCTCCAGGGAAAATAGCTCTAGCCTATTCAGCTACGCCCTATAGCTCAAACCCTTCAACCCGGGAACATCCTTGTAAACCTTTTCTGCAAACTTTCAAGTTTAACAACATCTTTCCTGTAGCAGGGAGACCAGAATTCGACGCAGTATTCCAAAAGTGGCCTAACCAATGTTCTAGCCGCAACATGACCTCCCAACTCCTATACTCAATGCACTGACCAATAAAGGCGTGTGCCAAATGACTTCTTCATGACACCATGTGTCTACCTGTGACTCCACCTTCAAGGAATTATGGACCTGCACTCCAAGGTGTCTTTGTTCAGCAACAATCCCCAGGACCACACCATTAAGTCCCACCCTGGTTCGCCTTGCCAAAATGCAACACCTCACATTTATTTAAATTAAACTTTTTGGCCCACCTGATCAATGTCCTGTTGTATTCTGAGATAACCTTCTTCACTGTCCACTAGACTTCCAATTTCGGTGTCATTTGCAAACTTACTAACCATTTCTCCTATTCTCACATCCAAATCATTTATATAAATGATAAAAAGCAATGGACCCAGCACTGATCCTTGCGGCGCACCGCTAGTCACAGGCTTCCAGTCTGAAAAACAACCCTCTGCCACCACCCTGTCTCTTACCTTCAAGCAAATTTTGTATCCAATTGGCTAGCTCTTCCTGGATTCTCTGTAATCTGACCTTGCTAACCAGTCTACCATGCGGAACCTTGTCAAACACCTTGTTGAAGTCCATATAGATAACGTCCACCACTCTGCCTTCATCAATCTTCTTTGTCACTTCTTCATATACTCAATCAAGTTAGTGAGACATGATTTTCCATGCACAAAATCATGTTAACTATCCCTAATCAGCCCTTGCCTTTCCAAATACATGTAGATCCTGTCCCTCAGAATCCCCTCCAACAACTTACCCAACGCTGACGTCAGGATCACCGGTCTATAGTTCCCTGGCTTTTCCTTATCACCTTTCTTAAATAATGGCACCATGTTAGCCACCCTCCATTTTTCTGCCACCTTACCTGTGGCTATTGATGATACAAATATCTCAGCAAGGGGCTCGGCAATCACTTCCCTAGCTTCCCATAAAGTTCTTGGATTCACCTGATCAGGACCTGGAGATTTATTCACCTTTGTGTTTTAAGGCATCCAGCACCACCTCCTCCGTAAAATGGACACACTTCAAGAGATCATTATTTATTTCTCCAAGTTCTCTAGCTTCTATATCCTTCTCCACAGTAGTTACTGACATAAAATACTTGTTTATTATCTCAGCCATCTTCTGCGGTTCCACACAGGCCTTGTTGATCTTTAAGGGGCCCTACCTCCCTAATTACTCTTCTGCCCTTAAAGTATTTGTAGAATCTCTTTGGATTCTCCTTAACCCTATTTGCCAAAGCTATCTCATGTCCCTTTTTGCCCTCCTGATTTCCCTGAATATACTCATACTAACCTTATATCCCTCAAGGGATTCACTTGATCCCAGCTGTCTATACCTGCCATATGCCTCCTTTTTCTTGACCAGAGCTTCAATTTCTCTAGTTATCCAGCATTCCCTACATCTATCAGCCTTCCCTTCACACTAATAGGAACATGCTGCCTCTGAATTCTCGATATCTCATTTTTGAAGGCCTCCCAATTTCTAACCACCCTTTTACACGTGAATAGCCTCTCCCTATCAACTTTTAAAAGTTCTTGTCTAAAACCGTTAAAATTGGTTTATTCCAATTTAGAACTTCAACTTTAAGGTCAAGTCTATCCTCTTCCATAACCATTTTAAAACTAATTGAATTACTATAGTCGGCCCCAAAGTGCACCCTCACTGACACTTCAGTTGCTTGCCCTGTCTTATTTCCCAAAAGAAAGTCAAGTTTTGCTCCTTAAATAAAAACCAAAAGAACTACAGATGATGTAAATCAGAAACAAAAACAAAAGTTGCTGGAAAGTTCAGCACGTTTTCTATATGCACTTAACAATTTATCTCCATCCAAGCCCTTAACACTATGGCAGTCCCAGCCTATGATTGGAAAGTTAAAATTCCCTACTATTACAGCCCTATCATTCAGTTTAAGGTGAGAAGGGAGAAGTTTAAAAGGGACCTGAGAGGTAACTTTCTCACACAGAGGCTGGTGCGTACATGGAATGAGCTGCCAGAGGAAGAGGAGGAGGCGGATACAATTACAACATTCAAAAGACATTTGGACAGGTACATGGACAAGAAAGGCATAGAGGGATATGGGCCAAATGCAAGCAATTGGAACTAGTTTAGTTTGGGAAACCAGGTTTGCATGGACAAGTTGGGCTGAAGCGTCTGTTTCGTGCTGTGTGACTCTATGACTTGAAGTCCCGTTGATGTTGTTTATAAAGACTTTTTTCCATCCATATCTGCAACTGATCAATATCTCGCTGTATCCTTTGACAACCTTCTACAATATCCACAACTCCACTGATCTTTATGTCATCTGCAAACTTACTAACTCACCCATCTATGTATTCAAAGTCATTTATATGTATCTCAAACAGAGAGGTAACAGCACGGACCCCTGAGGAACGCCACTAGTCACAGACCTCCAGCCAGAAAAACATTCTTTCACCACTACCCTCTGTCTTCTATGGGCAAGCCAATTCTGAACCCATGCAGCCAAGTCACCGTGGATCCCATGCATCTTAATCTTCTGGATGAGCCGACCATGAGGGACCTTGTCTAAAGCCTTACTAAAATCCATTTGGACAACATCCACTGCTCTACCCTCATCAATCACATGTGTCACCTCCACAAAGAGAGTTCTAGGAGGCAGCATGGGCCTTGTAGCTGCTCCTGGGATTGTGGGCTTCGTTAAAGATTTATTATCGTTTTATTACATTTATTACAGTTTCACTAATATGAGATTTTTATTCATTTTGTTTCACTAACATTAAAAGAAACAAAAAAAACAAACAAAAAAAAATCACGATTCTTTCTCAAACAGATCTTTTTTTAAAAACCACCATTTCAAGAGTCTGTAGTGAACAGCTGAGGTTTTTTTGATTCTACATTACTAACTTTAAAGAAAACTACATGCATTTTAAAGGGATCTTTTTCATTGCAAAAGTTTTTGTTTGAAATGCCGAACAGCTTTTTTTAAAATAAGGAGTTGTATTTTTGTTTCGGGGAGACCTACACGTGGTCAGCTCTGGAGAGGATTCTTTTTTCTTCGAGGAATTTATTGAAGAGAAATCATTGTTATTCAGTTAATCAGTTAAATGATTGATTTTACTTAAGTTTTATATGTTTGATTTTTCCTACATTTTTTTTCCATTTTAACATTATTTTTTGTAGCTAATGAAAGACAATTCATTTTATATATCAGGTGTCATTGGAGGTTCCTTTTTTTTAAGGCTTAATGCTATTAAGGGCATGCACGAGATACAGAATGCAATGGCTAGTAGATTTAGCAAAGTTATTACACAGCAGGATCTGTCAGATAGATGGGTGACTGTCAGGAAAGGTAAGAAGACAGTTCAAATGCCTCCGGTGGCTATTCCTCTAACAAATAGATATTTAGTTTTTGGAACAGTTGAAGGGGATAGTCTCTCTGAGGAAAATGGAAGGGGTGGTCAGTTATTGGTCACTTGGAATGATTTTTATGTTAAGCAGCGTTTGACAAAATTTAACAGAATTATTGTTAAAAGAGACACTCCTGTCAGGGGAAAAGACAGGCGATTCTGTGGCAGTGAGTGTAAATTTAGGATGGTTTGTTGCTTTCCTGGTGCTAGGATTAAGGATGGCTCTAAACACTTCGAACATATTGTTAAAAAGGTGAAATTGAGAAGCCGTAAATTATTGTACACATTGGTAGGAATGGCATTTTTAGGGAAAAGATTAAAGCAGTACAGAGTGAATTTAAAGAAATAGGAGACTAAAAAATAGAACCTTAAAAGTAGTAATCCCTGGTTTACTCTCAATGCCAAACTCAAATGAAGGAAGGAACAAAAGGATAAAGGAGATAAATCAATGGCTGAACAACTAGTGTATTCTTCAGGGATTCATGTTTTCGGACAATTGGAATGTCTTTTGGGATAGAAAAGACCTGTTCAAAAAGGATGGGCCTAACCCGAACTGGAAAGGGACCAATATCCTAGCAGAGAGATTTGCTCGTTCCATTAAGGCAAACTTTATACTGATAAAGAGGGGGAAGTGGAGGAATTCTAAGTAGCAGTGTAAATAGAAAGATTGCTGGGGAAGGTTCTGAATGTGAAGACAACACGTCAACTAGAAAAGAAAAACAACAGAGTCACAGTATGTAGCAACTCTGAAGAACTAAACTGCATTTATTTCAATGCAGGGGTCTTACAGGTAAAGCTGATGAACTCAGAGCATGTTTAAGAACATGGGATTGGGACATCATAGCTATTACAGAGACTTGGCTGAGAAATGGACAAGACTGGCAACTCAATGTTCTAGGTTTTAGATGCTATAGGAAGGGAGGCAAGCAAGGGGGCCGGGTATGGTTTTTGATTAAGGAATACATTACTGCTGTAACTAGAGAAGATATTTCTGAAAAATCGTGCAGTGAAATTATTGGGGTAGAAATTACAAATAAGAAAGGAAAGATCACCTTGATGGGATTGTACTATAGGCCCCCCCCCAATAATAAGAGTAAAACTGAGAAACAAATGTGTAGGGATATTTCAAATATATGCAAGCATAATAAGGCTGTAATAATGGGGGATTTTAATTTTCGAAACATTGACTGGGGCTACTATAGTGTTAAAGGTTTTGAATGTGAAGAATTTGTCAAATGCGTTCCAGAAAATTTCCTTTACCAATATATGGATGTGCCAACAAGAGAAGGAGCAAAACTAGACCTTCTTTTAGGTAATAAGGCAGGGCAGGTAACGGAAGCATAAGTGGGGGAGCACTTTAAGTCTAGCCATCATAATTCGATTAGTTTCAAAATGGTTATAGAAAAAGATAAGCCTTCCATAAAAGTAAAGCATGAAAGAGAAAACTAACATTTATCAAACTTCAGATTAATTAGTTAATTCATTAACAAATGTGTAACTTCACGAGGTTGAGGGGGGTTCTTGGAAACAGAAAATCAACATAAGCACATACTTACATCCATTATGGTTACAGGAACTTCTTTGATCTTGTGAGGCTCTACATAGGAATTCTGGCAGTTTAAAGTGAGACGAGAGGCCAACTCACCCTGTCCTAAACTCTCCAACTGTCATTCCAAACAAAAGAGGAAAATTAGAATTCATGCAATAATAATATAAAGTAAGGCTAAAGGATCTGGAGTTCAAATTTTGAATTCTTTGTGCATCCTGTATTACATGCTAACTACTGATCAATTGACGGCCTGTTAAAAAATACTAGGGCAGTTAGGTCACAGGGTCATAGAAGTCTACAACACAGAAAAAGGCCCTTCAGTCTATCAAGTTTGTGCTGGTTATAAACAAGTACCTAACTATTCTAATTCCATTTTCCAGCACTTGGTCCATAGCCTTGTATGACTTGGCATCCTAAGTATATACCAAAATACTTCTTAAATGCTGTTAGGGTTTCTGCCTCTACCATTGCTAGAGGCAATAAATTCCAGATTTCCACCACCCTCAGGTTGAAAAGTGTTTTCCCCACATCCTTTCTAAATCTCCTGCTCCTTATCTAATCTATCTACAGGCCAAGCACTGAAAAAGGGATTAGAGTAGTAGCAATTAGTTTTGATCAGCATGGTAATGATAGGCCGAAGGGCCTATTTCTGTGCTGTAGATCCCTATGATACTATCCAGTCTCTCTTCATATCTTACATCTTGGTAAATCTCCTTTGCCCGAGGCATTAAGCAGAATCACTGATGTAGAGGACTCCATAATTCAAAGACAGGTCTTAATGCACAGCGGTTAGCATCCCTTCCTCTGAGCCAGAGGCTCCAGGTTCAAATTCTGGCCTTGGACCGGATGCCAAAGGAGGTGAACTTATATAACCTGGTCAAGCAGGCCAAGTATAATTCAGAAAATGCTTCGAATATGTGCCAATAGCAGGAGGCAAAAATGAGAAAAATTCCTAGTCAGTCAGTGATCGAAAGAACACTGGAGACTCTACCAGATGACAGAATATAAAAATTAGGTTTAGGGCTAGCTCAGATTCCTGTACATTTTTATGATGCTATAAATTGGATATTCTACCATACAGCCAACACAGTGAATGCACAAGATGGCTTTCTAAGCAGTCATGATTCTACGATACGAAATCAAAATACAGAAGCTTACGGAAATGTGATATAAGTTTTTGAATTTTCAAAAATGAACTGATCAGATTAAAAAAACAAATAAGCAATTTATTATGCTGAGGGTATCAACATCAAAGCCATCTTGCTTAGAAGGCAAGTTAAGCAATACTTTTTAAACAAAAGGTGATAGATGTGTTGAGCGCTCTGCCATGAAAAGCAGTAATAAGTTAAAAATGGAAATAAATAGATTATTGCTAAACAATAGCATAAAAGAGAAACTGAATTGATACCAGTATAGGTCAAGATACAGATCAGCCATGACCTCAATGCATGAACATAAGAAATAGGTGCAGAAGGCCACTCAACCCCTCATGCCTGGCCCACCATTCAACAAGATCAGGATTAATCTGCCCCAGGCTTTAGCCCCTCTTTAGTGCCAGATCAGCATGGATGCCAACACTCCAATATTTCAAAAATCTACCTACCTCCAATTTAAAATACTACCAGTGATCTAGCCTGACCAACTCTCTGGGGTAGAGAATTCCCAATAATCACTACCTTCCGTGAGAAAAATAGGTCCTTTGCACCCAGTTTTAAACAAATGTTCCTTTATTCAATAACTATGTCCCTTACGAAAACAGAAGTTGCTGGAAAAGTTCTGGCAGCATTTGTGAAGAAAAAATCGGAGTTAAAGTTTCAAGTCTAGTGACCCTTCCTCAGAACGCTGTCCCTTAATTTGAAACTCCCCCACTGGTGGAAACATCTTCTCAACATCTGTCAGGCCTCTCAGAATCTTTAATAAGATCATCACTCATTCTTCAAAACTCTAATGAACAAAGGCCTAACCTGTTTGGCTGCTCTTGATAATATCAACCCCTTAAGCTAAGGTGTCAGTCTAGTGAATTTCTTTTGAACAGCAATCAATGTCAGTGTGTCCTTTTTTTAAATACAGGGACCAAAATGATCCACAGTAGTTCAGATTTGGCATCACCAATATCCTGCAAAGTTGTAACAAGACTTCCCTATTTTTAATCCAACCCCATAGTGACAAAGGACAAAATTCCATTTGCCTTCTTAATTACTGATTGTACCTGCGTGCCACCTTTTTGTGTGTCATGCACATGCACACTCAGATCCCTCAGCATGGCATTTTTTGGAGTCGATCACCGTCTCTCCAACGTGATCTCCCACAGGGTGGTGCTGTCGTTGTCTGGCATACTGACTCCTACATTGCAGATGCTGAGCACCAGCTCTCAGATACCTACTCCTATCTTCCCCTGGACTATGACCCCACCATGACGTATCAGACCATTGTATCTACTACGGTAACTATTCTCATTTCATCCAATGACCTCCCCCCAACTGCTTCCAAGCTGATAAGACACTCAACACCGCACAGTTCACTTTTACCTCTGATATATTACCCTCCAAAAATCCACAAACATTACTGTCCAGGCAGACCCATTGTTTCAGCCTGCTCCTACCTTGACTCAGTCTTCTCTCCCCTGGTCCAATCCCTGCCCATGTACATCCGTGATTCCTCTGACGCCTTCCATCGGTTTCAAAACTTCCAGTTTGCAGGTTCCAGTCACCTCCTCTTTACCATGGACGTGCAATCCCTTTACATGTCTATTCCCCACCAGGAGGGTCTTTGGGCTCTCCGCTTCTTCCTGGAGCAAAGACTTGAACCGTCCCCATCCACCACCAACCTCCTCTGCTTGGCCAAGCTCATCCTCACCCTCAACAACTTCTCTTTTAACTCCTCTCATTTTCTTCACATAAGAGGAGTAGGCCATGGGAACCTGCACGGGCCCTAGTTATGTCCGTCTCTTCATGGGGTACGTGGAACATTCCATGTTCCAGTCCTATTACACGCCCTCACCCACAACTCTCTCTGATATATTGATGATACCATCGGTGCTGCTTCCCTCTCTTGTCCAGAATGGAAAAGTTCATCGATTTCGCTTCCAATTTCACCCTGCCTTCACTTTCACCTGGTCTATCTCTGACTCCTCCCATCCCTTCGTTGACATTTCTGTTTCCATTTCTGGGGATAGACTGGCCACTAATATCCACTATAAACCCACTGTCTCCCACAGCTACCTGGACTATACATTCTCACACCCTGCTTCCTGTAAAGACTCCATCCCATTCTCTCAGTTCATCTGTCCCCATCATATATGTTCAGATGAGGCCAACTTTGACAAAAGAGCCTCCGAAATGTCCACCTTCTTCCTCAACCGAGGATTCCACAGCTCCGTTGTCAACAGGGCCTCAACCGCGCCTGACCCATCTGCCACAGTTCCGCCCTCATCCCTTCTCTTCTCTTCCCTCCCGCAACAGCAATAGAGTTTCCCTTGTCCTTACCCACTATCCCACCAGCATCCACATCCAGAAGATCATCAGATGCCATTCCACCACCTCCAGTGAGATGCCACCACCAGTCAAATATTCCCCTCCCCTCCCTTGTCCACCTTCCGCAGGGACTGTTCCCTCTGGGACACCCTGGTCCGCTCTTCCTTCACCCCCAACACCTCCCCACAGCCCTACGGCACCTTCCCCTGTAAACGGCGAAGGTGCGTCACTTGCCCATTTAACTCCTCCCTCCTCAGCATCCAAGGGCCCAAACATACCTTCCAGATGAAGCAGCACTTTACCTGCACTTCCCAGAATCTAGACTACTGCATTCGCTGCTCACAATGTGATCTCCTCTATATTGGGGAAACAAAGCGTAGACTGGGTGACCGCTTCACAGAACATCTACGTTCTGCTTGCAAAAAAGACCCTGAGCTACCTGTTGCCTGCCACTTTAACGCACCGATCTGATCCCTGGCCAACATCTGTGTCTCTGGCTTCCTGCGGTGTTCCAGCGAAGCTCAACGCAAGCTGGAAGAACAACACCGTTTGGGGACCCTGCAGCCCTCTGGACTCAATATCGAGTTCAATAATATTAGGGCCTAAACTCTCCTATGTCCCAGCCCCCTACCCCACACACCAGGCCCTGTTATCACATAGTCTGCCATTACACACCCACTGTTGTCAGTCACTAACAGTCCCCATTAACAACTATTCACCTTCCTAGCCTGATTGTTATCAACTCCTTTGTTCAACTGTTCTTCTCTCTCTTTGGGCTCTATTCTATCGTTTACTCCCTACCCCATCTCCCTCCCTTTTTTTTCTGCATATAAACTGACATTTTCCCAGCCACGATCAGTGCTGAGGGGGTCACCGAACCCAAAACGTTAACTCTGTTTTTTCCTTCACAGATGCTGCCAGACCTGCTGAGCTTTTCCAGCAACTTCTGTTTTTGTTCACGATCTCCCACTTGCTTTTGTATCATCCGCAAATTTGGATACTTTACACTCTGCCGTCTCCTCTAAGTCATTAATATAAATCGTGAATAATTAATGCCCGAGGACTGATCCTTTTTGCATTCCACTCGGTACATCTTTCCAATCTGAAAAAACCCATTAGCCTCAACTGTCTTGTGTGTGTTAACCAATCCTCAATCTGTGCCAATACATTGCCCCTAATACTATGGGCTTTTATCTTGTGTAATAACCTTTTATGTGGCACCTTATCGAAAGCCTTCTGAAAACCAAAATACACTACA